TCTCTGGGTTATGTCACCCTGAACATTTGTGGGGTTTTAGAAGAAGTTTCTATGTGGTCTTCAACATGAATTGTTCTTGCCTGGAATGGGCTTGGAATAGTATTTCACCAGACAGAGAAAAATTTTCATTGAAAAAATCGAAAACACTTGCGTGATAGCCTGGAGGCCGACAGGCCTCAACAGGAGTGCCTGTGGCAAATCTGCACAGTGGACCCAGGGACACAAGGAAAGAGGAGCCAGGATGCGGCTGTGGTGGGTGGAAGGCAGATGGAGGCTGTGTGTGGAACTGTCTATTCTTGCATTCAGCACTCTCCCCCATTAGAGTATACACTTGTTGAAGGCAGAGACTTAGAAATACTCATCTGTGTCCCCACACTAGCTTCTCTCTCAAGCACAGAAAAAGAACTTGCTAAATTCCCACCAAGTGGATGAGCCCACACTCTAGGCCTGGCTGAATCTCCTTGAGGTTGAGGCCCTGAGGGAGCCATTTCACATCTCCCCTCCTGTTTCCTCTTCCAAGAGTGGGCAGGTAACAATACCTACCTTCTGCACAGACCCCTTGTTGCAGGGTTGAAAGACAGTAGATTCAGGGAGGTGTCAGCTGAGGCCATGGATCTGATGGCCCCAGGATCCTCAGTCCATGGGGCCGAAGAGTCATAAAACAAGAACATGAATCCATCTGTCTGTCTGGTATTCTTGGAGCTTGGCCACACTGCGGGAGCTCTGGCTTGCAGCTGGCAGGGCCGGGGGTTGAAGGGACAGCTCCCAGCACGCAAGGCTGTGGGTGGGGGGGGCATTGCAAGAAGCACTGATGCTCCCCTCTGCAGTCCCCACCCAGTCCTGACTTTGCTTGTCTAGACTGGCCCGAGGAGGGGGTCGGCAGCTGGCAATTCTGCCTCTCCAGGAAGTGCAGCTGGGACTGCAGGGTCCCCAGGGACTTGCAGGATCCTCTGCCTGATAATCGTGGAGAAATACGGGAAGGTGTCTATAGGAGGCAGGTGGTGCCTGGCCTTAGAGGAGAGCCCCAGCAGAGCGACCTCCACGACAGAGGAACCCCAGAACGCCCAGACTGCAAGCTCCAGGAGCAACAAAGGTCGACTGTGCCCCTCGAATGAGGGAATATCTGTCCATCTGGTTGACTGCCAGCTGTGTGTGTGGTCATCTCTGTCTCTGTGTGTCTTTCTCTGGAGAGTTTTCATTTAAGCTTTTGACTTCCTTTATTCCTGGTGTGGACTTGTGTGTGGGTGTCCTGTTGCCAGTTTACGATGCACAAGTGTGGAATTGCCTTGAGCTTGCCTTTGATATTGGTGTGTTGTGTGGTGTCATTGTCATGCACCTGTATGTGTGTGTCACTGGTTCTCACGCAAGAATGTATTTCTTTTATGTGTCTGTCGAAGTGTGCCCCTAGCACGTCCCTCTTGGCTGCTGCACCACCCTTCCTGGACCTTACCACCCCTTGGCCCACCATATGGGTGCTTTTGTCTCCAATTCCCCTCCTCAGCAGGTCAGCTCCTGGAGGGCAGGCACTTGGTCTATTTTGTCCATGGCTCTGTTTCCAGCTCCTACAACAGTGCTAG